GTCTGTGTGTCTACAGTACAGCACAGCCAACAGGAGCTCTGTCTGTGTGTCTACAGTACAGCACAGGGCAACAGAGCTCTATATGTCTGGGTCCCTACACAGGTGCAGCAGATTCAGCAGATCCACCACAATGTCATTATCCTCAAACTTACTTTCAATGCACCCCAATCCTACCACACTGTTATTGAGAAACAATAATGTTTTTAAAAAAAGCACTGGCAATGCTGATAGTCGTTTTATGCAATGAAAGGGAATGCTATTGGACAGCTCAGATCCCTTAGTCCAACCACATTGGGAAATGAAATATGTACTTGGGCATGAGGATTACCGGGATTTGACTTTAAAATGTTAAAAGTGGGAAAACACGTCATGACTGGGATCACGGGTGTGAGCGTCTGCAGTGGATCAGAGGCAGGAGGGAGAGAGGGTCCCGAGAGGCGGGGGGAATCGCCAAGAGCAGATTAGTACTTGAGTCACCTTGTCAGCACAGACCTGAAAATAGACACGGCCTCGGCTGTCACAGCAGACAGCTGGGGGCCGGAGCAGCGTGTTCCAGAGGTGTCTGGGTTGGAGCTGGAGGAGGGCAGCACATACAGGAAGCGCACTCCCACACTACGGACACAAACTCCCCTCCTGTCTCTGCGCTCTGCTAGACTCCCATTGCATAGCAGGTAGAGCCATTCCAGGGTTTACCCGAAACTTCAGCATTCTGCATCAAGGCCATCCTGCTGCTGCTTTGTACAAGCTCGGCCCCTTTCTTTGAGTGATGATGTCAGTATCCTATAAACCAGTACGTGTACGAGAGCCAGCAGGTCTTAAACACAGGAAGGGACCCAAATGCCCTGAGCTGGGACAGGGCTCTAATCTGTTGTTTATCTGCCAGGGAAGATGCGCAGTTGTTGACCTCTGTGTCATGGCAGATGTGGCTGTGAGCTAGGTTCTACCTGCGGTGCCCGGATCTGGCCTGTGCATGTTTTGAAAACCCGAGATTGAAAAGGAGCGTTCGAGCTCTAAACGCAAGTCCAGGTTGCGCGTCTGCCAGTGTGTCCGGCGTGTGTGTGGCTTGTGTCCGGTGCGTGTCCGGTGCGTGTCCGGTGCGTGTCCAGTGTGTGTCCAGCGTGTGTCCAGCGTGTGTGCAGCATGTCCAGTGTGTGTCCAGTGTGTGTGCAGCATGTCCAGTGTCCTGCTGTGTGACTATACTAGTGTTGACACGCTCGTCCTCCGCAGGTGGACATCAAGCAGTGCCACTACCTGGTGGACCTGGACACTGCGGCTGAAGCTCCTCGAGAGCCTCGCTACGCGGCCAACAAGGAGGAGTGGACTGTCATCGCCTACAAGCCCTTCCTGGACTCCGCCAGGTGAGCGGCTGCACTGACCGCGGGACGTCCAGCCCAGTGCCCCAGGCGGGGTCAGACTCCCAGGAGCAGGGGTGGTGTCGAAGGTGCCTGCCTGGGCTGAGAGACAGTAAGAACCCCTCTCTCTGGAGCTCCGGCAGACAGCTGTGTCACAGGACAAGAGCAGAGATGTCAATACATACTGCACACATTCCTGCTGTGCCCTCCTCCTGTCTCTCTCTCCGCCTGCTCCTCTCCCTTTCCTCCTGCCCGTCTCCCTCTCTCTCCTCCTGCCCCTCTCCCCTCCTGCCCCTCTCTCTCTCCTTCTCCCTCTCTCTCTCTCCTCCTGTCCCTGTGTCTGTCCTGCTGCGCCCCTCTCTCTCTCCTCCTGTCCCTGTGTCTGTCCTGCTGCCCCCCTCTCTCTCTCTCCTCCTGTCCCTGTGTCTGTCCTGCTGCGCCCCTCCCTCTCTCCTCCAAGGTCACCCGGCAGCGCAGCAGCAGGCTGGACTGAACGGTGGTTCCAGTTGGAAGGGAACAGCTGGAGCCTCTGTGTGGATGTTTAAAAGAAATTAGCTTTGAGAAGGAAGACAAGGACAAGCTGTTTCAGTCCCGTAGATCAGACCGGATCAGGGGGCCCCATGCAGAGCCGGTAATGAGCCAGCCCGCACCCCTCTGTTCCCACTTTTTCCAATAAACCCCCCCCCCCAAAACACACACGCACAAAGACGGTGTGATCAGAGTTCGGGGGGGAGTGTAGGCCTGACTTCATCTTTGGGGAAGGAGGGGGACGTGGGTTGCTATGGTGATAAAACTCGTTTCCATGCCTGCAAAGCACCTTGACAACTGAGCTGTTATTGATGCGCTCTCTCTCTCTCTCTCTCTCTCTTTAAACATCCCGCTGTGTGTGCGTGCATGTAGGTAGATGTGTGTTGCTTTGGGGAGGGTGGGAGGAGTGTGAGTTTGTGGGGAAGCAGGAAGATAAAGCGCTAGAATCGCCCGGCCTGGGAGCCCAGCGGGTCAGTGCGAGGAGCGCGAGGACAGTTCCTGCTCGCCCCCGACAGCTCTGCAGCGCCGGCCCCCCTGCAGACTCTCGCTCCTGTGCGCTAAAGAGAACCTTCAGTGCTTCCAAGAGGAGACGATACCGCCGAAAAACCCCCACCCCCCACGTGCACGCCTCCTGCAGCAAGGCCTCGTGGGACGGCTGGCGTCTCCCTGCTTGACGTCACCGAGTGCCAGCTCGGCCCCCTGGCTGCCTGCGCTGATAAATGGTGCCAGTAATTGAATTAGAATAGCGCTCTGAGCCGGGCAACTAATTATGCCACTCAGGCAGCTCATTCATGTTAGAGGTACCTCGTTCACCGAAGAGCCTACTGCTGCACGAGGCTGTCACACAGCAAGCCCGGCAAAGGGAAATGTGTCCACAAGTCCACCAGGGAAAAGGGGTCTGACTCTTTTAGCTCTAAAGCCATCCACAGGGGCTTCAATAGCTGCAGTGAAACAGTTGTTTTCTTGCAAGCATGTAAACCACTGTCTTTTATCGAGCGGTACTGCAGCTCGCAGACAGGCTGCGCAGCGCAGGCCCTGGGCACATCTCTCGCCTGCCCAGTGTGCGCAGACACACCGGCAGGACATGGTAATAGTGGGCGCCGCACGAAGGGGTTCCTCTTCTGACCTCCTCTTTCCGCAGTCCGCCTGTCAGGTCCCGTGCCCCTGTGTTCCCCGGGCTGCTGTCGTGGAGAGCAGCTCTACTGCCTCATCCAGCGGCTTAAGCTGCTGATAATTTAAAAAGACTTAGAAAGCCTGGTGAAACACTCTGCGGGGAGATGGGGCTGCAGACCCCTGGTCTAATCACTTCCCCAGCCTCCTGACCCTTATCTGCTGATAGACTGGCTTGTCATTAGGCTGCAGAAGACAGACCTGTTCTTCCCCAGACAGGAGCCCCTGGCTGCACAGCCCACCTGTGGCCACCAGAGGGAGCACCGCACTCACACTGTCCCCACCACCCCGGGCCAGGGGAGGCCACAGCGGCTCCTGTGTGCTGTCTTTGCAGCTCTGCAGTGTTTCCAAATGTCTCGCCTTCTTGTGTTCTTGCCCATCAATAAGACAGCCCCTCTTCAGAAGTCTGTCAGGGGGATAGCTGGTTTGATGGGATTTCATTTGTCTTGCTACGTCGTGTATTCCTTGTTTCACAGCCTGCTAGGGGAGTGTCAGCAAGGTGTGAAATGTAACCGTCGCTCTGAGTGTCCCTGTGCCCCGCAGGTCCTCTCGGCTGCTGCGGGCCTTCTTCGTGCCATACCTGTCCGATCAGCACACCAGCTACACCAGCTACGTCATCCTCAAGCCCAGGAGGCCCAAACCGGCCCGGAAACGGACTCAGCCCTGACCGCCTGCGCCCCCCGCCCCAGCCTCTCCTCCCTCTCCGCCCGCCAGCCTGCGGGGTGCCCCGTCTCGCCAGCGCGCAGGTCACTGGGGTGAGTGGGCGCTGGACTGGAGCGCTCCCTCTGCGGGGGTCCCCACGGGCTCCACACACGTCACAATACAGGGGTCCCCACGGGCTCCACACATGTCCAATACAGGGGTTCCCACATGCTCTACACACGTCAAAACATAGGGGTCCCCACAGGCTCCTCACATGTCCAATACAGGGGTCCCCACATGCTTTGCACATGTCAAATTACAGGGGTCCCCACTGGCCTGTCACACATCAAGTACAGGGGTCCCCACAGACTCCTCACATGTCCAATACAGGGGTCCCCACAGGCTCTACACACATCAAAATACAGGGGTCCCCACATGCTTTGCACATGTCAAATTACAGGGGTTCTCACTGGCCTGTCACACATCAAGTACAGGGGTTCCCACAGACTCCTCACATGTCCAATACTGGGGTCCCCACAGGCTCCTCAAATGTGAAATACAGGGGTCCCCACAGCCTGTCATACGTCAAATACAGGGGGTCCAGCTGACCAGTGCAGCCCTCCTCTCCCCAGGGGGAGCTCTGAGCCACACGGCGCCACCCCCCCAGCGCGCGGTCCTCGGGGAGGAGTGGGTGGAGACGGGGGCGTGAATCGTGTGTCTTCTTCCGATCGCGAGCGGCCCTCCTCTCTGTGAGCGCGTGTGGGAGGGCGGGCCTGCGGCCAGTGGTCCGGAGGCCGTCTGCTTGTGTCCAGTGTTTTGAAGTTGTCGTGGCGCCGGCCCGGAGAACTCTCGGCGCTCCTGGGGCAGAGTTGAAACCCGCGGGGATGCGCCCGCTGCCCCAGAGGCCTCCGGGGGTTTTGCTGACTGGGAAGCGGTGTGTGACTGTGGAGCTGTGGAGCTCCCTGTCCGGCCTACATGTCGGGGTGAAACAGCAGCCACGGTTTCCAGGCACCCCTGAAGACCGCAGCGCCCCGCTCCTGTCCCATGATGCCCTGTCGGTGAGCCGCACTCACGCGTACGCTGAGGGGGGGGTCCGATTCTCTTTCATCCTTTCATTCCGGTTTGTTGCCACATTCCCACTTCGGTTGTCCTCCCAGCAGAGCTTATCCCTTCTGCTGCTGTTCCTTTTCCATTACAGTCAGACTGCGTTTGGGGGCGGGGAGGGGGGATAGAGAAGGAGGAAGAAAATGAGCATCCTGGAAGTCAGGTGACACTTTCTCAGCACAAGAAATAAAAACCTATTGTGGGTTCTGGCCCAGCAACCCTGATGTAGAGGGTTTATCCTCTGACCCTGACTGTCCTGGGGGAGCTGCCTGGCACAGAGAGTTGTGGAGGACAGGGCTCAACCCCAGCGGTCTCCTCCTCCCCCCTGGCCTCGGAGGGCCGTGCTCAGTGAGGGGGGTGGGGAGGTTTGGTGAAGAGTAATGGGTTATTCTGGGACTTCTTTCTCTATTTTTTCGGAGGGGGTTGGAGATTGTGTTTGTGTTTGACCTTCTGGCTGGGTAGCTGGGTTTTGGTAGGGGTGTCTGGTCATGCAGCCACTGAAGAGGGGAGAGGGCACCTCCTGTCAGTGTTTACATTCTGGGTGTCTGGTGTGTTGTACAGGAAAACCAAACAAGTGTTCAAATCAAATAAAAAAAGCCAAAATCAAATGTACGAGTCTCCATCCCTGAGCAGCTGTGTTCCTGTGTGTGTTTTTCCACAGTTCTGGTGCTTCCCTGTATAGTCACATTCCATGGCCAGTCTTGTTTTCATCTGGCTGATTGAGTGGGACGCAAAAGTAGATTTAATTAGCTAATTAATGGATGACCTTGGAAGGTTTTTGCTTCTGTCTCAACGTCAACCTTTTCAGCTCTTTTCCAAGTCACCTGGCTGCCCTCCTTGACGGCTGGTGAAGTCCTGTGACAATTCCAACACAGTCACCACTTTTGATCACACTCGAAACGTCAGTTCACTAAGGTTTTACTTGCTTTTGCAACTTGACAGTGCTAAATCTCCCCCAAGCACATACTTTCTCTCCTCTGTCCCACCGAGCAGGTGCTCAGGGCCCCTGCCTGTGTCTGCCCCTGAGGGACAACCTCCAGGTTGCGCAACAGGAAGTGGGGCGGGGGAAGACAATAGGTGCTGCACAACCTTCAGTGCATTAGTGCTGATCTGAGTGTGTCATTAGTTAGTGTGGGCAGAAAGAGGAAAATCCAGCAAAACATCAGGCCATTGATCAAGACAGCCCAAACCGCTAATTACAAAGGAGCAGCCCTCAGGATACCTGAGCGTCTGCGAGGCAGCAGTAGGCGCTGTGTGTGCGTGTGTGTGACCCTGTCTGTATGTCTGCGCATCAGCTTCTCTGTTCCTGGGAATGATGAGACTCCAGCGCAGTCACATGGTCCCCCGCGGGTCTGGCGGGCAGGGAATCTCTTAACGAGCGCAGAATTGATGAGAGGGAACACTGGAGCTTCCCATTTTCAGCCTAATGAGGGGGGAAGGAAAGCGAGGGGATCCGTGCATCTTCCTCAGGGAGCACAGCGGAATGAGCAGACTAGAGTCAGGCTTGGCAGCTGGCACATCTGTGTAATTCTCCGGGCCGGATACTCGGCGATCCCTGGTGGGATCCTGGCAGGATCTCAAGCCAGCAGTGGATGTCAAGGGCTGATTCCCTTTCACTTTCCTAATTGGCTCGTCTCCTAAGCTGTTATGCGTGCCCTCTCTCCCATCCTCTTCTGCCCAGCTCACAGGGCAGCTGGCCAGGCCAGCGCAGTTCTTCCAGGGAAGTGTGCCGGGGAAAGAAATGTGTGTCACGCGCTGCCTAGGAGCCCCGTCCCGAGAGCGTGAGTCCTGGAACCCGTGCGCCACAGACACGCTTCCCTCCCTCCATCCTGCTCATTCGCTCCGGAGCTGGATTTGCAGGAACAGACTGGCAACACAAACGGCTGCCGCCTGTGACAGGGGCACTCGGGACAGAATGTGGGAAAGGAGAACAAGAAGCATGTGTGTGAGTCAGCGCTCCATCAGCCGCTTCCTGAAGGAACTCAACGAACAAGCTTCAATCGCCGGGCTGGGCTGCTTGTTCCACGCTCCCACCACCCTTTGCGTAAAATGTTGCCTCATGTCCTGATTGGAAGCCGGTTCTCTTCCAGCTGGTTCTTTAGAGAAGCCAGAGTGGTGGCTTCAGCCACTTGGCCCGGCAGCTTGTTTCACACTCCCACAACTCTCTGGGTAAAGAACTGCTTTCTCGTCTTTCTTTTATAAAGAAATGCACTTCTGCGCTGTTTCCAGCAGTTTTCGTGTTTCATGGTTCGTTTTGAAGAAATCCTGTGTTGATTCTGGGAGGGGCTTTGGGGATTTTGAGCAGTTGCTCAGGTTTCCTCACAGTCTTCTCTGTTCAAGACTAAAAAGATTCAATCCAGAAGCTTCATTCAAATAGTTTGTTAAAATAATAATAATAATAATAATAATAATGAAAAGCACCAATCAAATTTAGAATACAAAATTAATTATCTTAATATAGGTGGATGCTGCACATTGGTGGTGGTGGAGGGGAGTCCCCATTACCTGTAAAGCGCTTTGAGTGGAGTGTCCAGAAAAGCGCTATATAAGTGTAAGCGATTATTGTTATTATAGGTCATCTTGTTGTTATATGTATTATTAAAACATGTTTTAAACAGACCTCGCAAATATTTAATATATTTACAATACAATGAAAAACGCAACGTAAGTGCACACCGTATTTTCACGATCTCCGATATTTAAGTGTGATGCTTTGAGAATCATAAAACAACACAGAGCCCGACAGTCAGCAAAATCGATGCACATGAAAAAACAAAAACATCTGCCGTCTGCGCCATACAGACCACACTGCGCAGGCGCTTACTCTGCCCTTAACAAAAATGTTTCCATTTGGCATCATACTAATCTCGCAGCACGCATGTGCAAGAGTCCGTTAATTTCACTCAACTTTATTGATGTATTATAGACAGACTGCGACGAGTAGTCACCGATAGTTTTAACGGTGCACCAGGTGAGGTAAATTATACATGTTAACAGTAAAGGTCCCAACGACTTAATTTTGACATAAAACTCTGGTTTTATGTGCCTTTGGTCGATTAAAAAAAATAGCTGTCTTTTTTTTTTTTAGATAAAAGCTGGTGACCGCCCACCAGCCCCTGGTGGTCATTGTCTTCTCGCAGGAAACCCCGTGCGCGCCGCAAGCCGGAAGCAGCAAACCCGAATCCAAAATGGCAGGAGCCGACGGAGACGACTCTCTCTATCCCATCGCCGTGCTCATTGACGAGCTCCGGAATGAAGACGTTCAGGTAAGCCCCTAAACATGGGCTCTCGGGGAGGTCGGAGTGTGGGGCCGGCAGCTTTCAGGCGCAGCGTTGCGGAATTCAGAGACCCGGAGCGATGAAACGGAGGAGTGACGTCTGGGGCCTGTTCCAGAAATCCCAGCCGGCGAGCCGCGGTGCTGGTGAGAGAGGCGGAGAGATTCATTTCAGGGACACGGTTCTCGGTTTTCCTGTTTGTATCCAAACAGAGCTTGTCGGAGCCGCCTTTTTAACAAAAGACTTGAATAGAAAACAGAATGGATCTAGAATAGTTTATTTTTTTTCCTCGCAAAGGGCTGTCGCTGTGCTTGGGGTACACTACAGTAGCCGGAGGGGGAGGGCGGGGACCGGGAATTCGGAGAATTCGGGAAGTCGGTTCCGATTCTGGACTTGGGCTCTGAGGAGGATACGTGCTCGTCCCCCCGGGCTTGGTAGCGGGCCGCCGAGTTGTCATGGAGAGCGCCGAGCCGGTGCAGCGAGTTGCCCGTCATGACTGGGTGTATCCACTAGCCCGGACTCGCGGACGAGGGCACAGGGGGCAGCAGGAAAAACAGCTCTACCGCTCTGTGTATATGTATAAGTGTTCATTTTTCTGTTCTCTGTGGTGCACACGGCCGGTTTTCCTCCTCTTCTTCGGTTGGGCGTTGTTGTTGTCTCCCCGCTCAGGCCTCAGCGCCCGGCGGTGCCCAGAGCTCTCGCTGGCCCGGGACTGTCGAAACCGACTGGCCCTCGGGGACACCAGTGAGACACAGATCTGTGATTTCATGTGTGAGGATTGAAGGGTCTGATGTACTGAGAGTGACCAAGCCCTAAACGAGCTGTTATTATTTTATATTCCACTTATTAATATGATGTCCCGTCCCCCGTTCTCTGTTTTACAGTATTCACATGTGATGTCCATTCACATCACAGAAACCAGTATCAAGCCGATTTTAGGGGAGTTTATTAATGAGGTCTCTTTCTAGATTTCACTCTTTTAATAAAGGCCTTTGACCTCCCTGGCTTTCACATTAGAAGTGCTGTTCTTCCCGGAATAACTCCCGCGGACCACCAAGCGGTCTAGCCAGGGGCACCTCTGCGGTGGTTTGTGAATGCAGGAGTGGTGCAGTGCTCTCCAGTCGTGGCTGCAGGGACCCCGGTATTTTGCAGATGGTTCTGAAAGACTGGTGGGTGTACGTGATGGCTCATCTGTTGCCGTGGCAACCCTTACCCTCACTGCTAAATATAGGCCCTGTATGAGCTCAGTGGGGTTGCCAGCAGCACTCTGTCTGATTCAGTCCTGTAAACAAACTGGCCGAGACCAGAACCTCTTGGGAGCTTGCTGGTTAGAAACGGTGGCGGTTTGTACTTCCGTGAAGTTGAAGAAGCAGATTCGCATTTTCTGTTGAGCTCCCCCCCCTGTCCGCACTGTCAGAAGACGCGGGGGGGGGCAGGCTTTGTGCTGGTCTGTTAGTGGGTCATGTGAAGGAGATGTCCGGCTCTCCTTTTCCCATTTCTGAAGCCCGTGTGCTGATTCCCGAGATCCCAGCCTTTAGTGCCCTTCACAGTGATGGAAGATCAACACCGCAGCCTGCTGGCATGTACTGGGCACAGTCCCCCAGTGCCTCGTTACGCTGGGCTGTAGCAGGTTTCGCGTCCTGACAGTCTGGGTCAGCAGAACCCCGTCTTCAGAAAGGTTACTAATGAGAGGAGCCATTCGGCCCATCCAGCCTGTTCGATAACGAGCAGGTTATTGATCTGCCGATGTCTTGGAAGAAGCAGTGGTTTTCACTCGAGCGGTATGGCTGGGTAGCTTGTTGCCTTGCGGCCTGTGTCCGAGCACTCAAGGCTTCTCTCTCTCTCACCTGCCTCCCTGATCTCTTCCCTTCTCTTTGGCAGCTGCGTCTGAACAGCATCAAGAAGCTGTCCACCATCGCTCTGGCGCTGGGAGTGGAGAGGACGCGCACTGAGCTGCTGCCCTTCCTCACAGGTACGTACGTACCCCACTGCCACCCCAGGAACCAGTGAAACGCGTTTTACTGAAAGCGAGGTTGATTTCAGTGGGGTGGCACCAAAAGAGTCAGGCTTCATGTTCCCCAGCTGCTATCCTGGGCTGATTATAACAGTCCGGCAATGTGAACAGGGCCGCACGGTTTCGTTTCCAAAACTACCGTAGTGTGAAAAAGCAAGGACACCCCATGAAAGGTTTGTCTTTTTTTACATTTTTGGACAAAAGGATATATTTAATTGAAAAATCACATTTTGGACTTATTTGTACTATTTAAATCAATATAAATGCAATTTCCTTGTGCGGAAAAAGTTAGTACACCCCTACCTTTATCATTGCATCAAATACCTAAAAGAAGAATCTGGTTTGCTAAAACACGTGCAAATGATTTTATAATAAATTCTAAACATCAGAAACCTGTGGTCTGGTTTGGTCTTGGCAATTGAGGTGTGTGGCTACGTCATGCCAAGATCAAAAGAGCTCTGAGGCCCTCTTAAGAAAGACTGTTGATGTCTGGGAAGGGTTTAAAAAGCCATTGACAAGCAATTTGTAGTCAATCACTCCACTGTCCAAAAGATAATCTACAAATGGAGAAAATGTCAAACCACTGGCAATCTAGGCCTGGTCGTCCCACCAAGTTCAGCCCAAGAGCTGACCGGAAGATGCTGCAGGAGGTCTCCGAGAACCCCAGGATAACTTCAAGGGATTGACAGGCAAGTCTGGCCTCAGTCAGTGTTAAAGTGCATGAGTCCACCATCCGAAAGAAATGGCACAACTTTGCCCTACATGTGACTTCAGGAGGGAAGAAGCCTCTGCTCTCAAAAATGAATATAGATGCACGACTGAAGGTTGCTAGACAACACCTAGGTGAAGATCAGGACTAGTGAAACAATGTGCTCTAGAAGGATGACAAAAAAGGTAGAGCCGTTTGGCCACAATGCTTTGTTTGACTACAACCAAAAACTGCCTTTGACCAAAAGAACCTCATACCAACTGTAAAGCATGGTGGTGGAAGCATTATGGTTTGGGGCTGCTCTTCTGCCTCAGGGCCTGGCCAGATTGCCATCATGGAGTCAACCATGAATTCTACATTGTACCAGAGAGTACTTGAGGAGAATGTGAGGCCATCTGTCAAAAAGCTGAAGCTGCACCATAAGTGGACCTTGCAACGAGAAAATGACCCAAAACACTCAAGCAGATCCACACAAGAATGGCTCCAAATGAAGAAATGGAGGGTTATGGAATGGCCAAGTCAAAGCCTAGGTCTAAACCCCATAGAAATGCTGTGGGGGGACTTGAAGCGGGCAGGACGTGCAAGAAAGCCCTCAAACATCACACAGTTGGAGGAGTGGGCAAAAATTTCTCCAAGTCGATGTAGGAGACTGATGGATAATAACAGGAAATGCTTACAAGAAGTGATTTCTGCCAAAGGGGGCAACACCAGCTATTGAAGCTTGGGGATGTACTTATTTTTTCCACAGCAGACAATTGCATTTCTGACTTTTTTTGTGTGCAATAATTGATTGCAAATTTTCATTATTTGTTAAATTAGATCACCTTTATCTATCAATATTGTTGAAATGAAGATCAGATATCTATACGTGTAAATATGTGGAAAAACACACCTTTTCATGGGGTGTTATTTTTCACAGCACTGTACATGTGGGATGTCTTTCGTACACTCTCCGTGTTTTGATTTGGAAGAGCCGTTTCTCATGCAAGAACAGAGGGGGTTTGTTGCTGATGCAGATGGTTTGGCTCAGGGCCAGGATGAGTGCTGACTTAATGAGTTGAACACAGTGGAATGTGACACAGGGAGCGACTACGTTTTGATGCCTTTACATGTAGTTATCTTGCTGTAAAGCAGGGAGTCAGGGGTAGAAAGAGGTAGGATTTGCTTTGATTCCTGTAAAGAGATGCTTGTTTTCGGCTGTAGAAGGACGTAATACAGAAATTCATTCTTTCTTTCCGCAGACACTATTTATGATGAGGATGAAGTTCTCTTGGCCCTTGCAGAGCAGCTGGGCAACTTCACCATGCTGGTGGGAGGCCCAGAGTATGTCCACTGCCTGCTGGTAAGATCGAACGCTGAAGCTACTTGGGAATTCAGCTCCTGTCAGTCCTGCTGTCTGTTCTCCCTGGTAGTCTCTTCCACCTGGGAAACAAGACCTTTTCCTCCTCTTCCTCCTTCACCCATCCCCTACCCCCCGAAGGCCCTCTTGTTTTGCTTATGCTCGTCTCTCCTCTTTCCCTTTTTTTGTGTATCTCTCCCTTTCATCTTTCTCTTCACTCTCCTGACTTTCTCTCCTTTCATCACCTTGTCCTTTTCATTTGTCTCCTCTTTCCTTGAAATGTCTCTGCCTCCCAGTTTCTCAATGTCTCTCCCTTGCACTGTCTCTAAAAGCCTTGATCTCCCTTGTTCCTCCCTCCTCCTCCTCCTCTCTCAACATCTCAACATCTCTCCCTCTCGTCCGCCTGTCCCCCAGCCGCCCCTGGAGAGCCTGGCCACAGTGGAGGAGACGGTGGTGCGCGACAAGGCGGTGGAGTCCCTGCGGAAGATCTCCCATGAGCACTCCCCCGTCGACCTGGAGGTGCACTTCGAGCCCCTGGTGAAGCGGCTGGCCAGTGGGGACTGGTTCACCTCCCGCACCTCCGCCTGTGGCCTTTTCAGCGTCTGCTACCCCCGTGTCTCCAGCACCGTCAAGGCCGAGATCCGCCAGTGAGTGGCCCTGTACACCCCTGTGCCTGCAGAACAGGCTGAGCCTGAGCTCCACTCCCCAGCCCTTTCTCAGTGCAATAGATGCATTGGGGCCTGTAGGCTTAGCATCTGCATAGCAGGAGCTTGGATCTACCAAAGCTGAGGTTCTGGGAGCAGGGAATGGATAGTGGGCTACTTCCTCTCTTGACCCTCTGTTCCTTCCAGGTTAAGGTGAAAGCGTGTTTCACTGTGGGCTCAAACTGCTGTTCTCCAGCCATTGCAGCAAAGAAATTAGCAGGCCTTTGTAGTGCCGACTACGATTTCGTCTGCAGGGAGAGAAATGCTCTCATTTTCACAGCATGGTGCCCTTGCAGCAGCCTTTAAGTACAATTTGTCTAACGGCACAGTTGTTTTTTCTGTGGGTTTTCCTTTCAGCAAAATGAAATAAGAAATGACACGCACGAGAATAAAAGATGAGAAAGACCCTCTAGAGCACTTAGCAGTGCTTCCAGGAGTGTGGCCAGCAGTTTGGAGGCAGTCGGTAGTGCGTCGGGTAGATCAGGGAGCAGGACTGGGCTGCTGCCAGAACCAGCTGCTGGACATCCAAGTGCGCAGTGCAGATGAAAACTAACATGGCTTAGCATCACTGCCTATATCTTTCCTTAATTACATAACGATTTATAGAATGGCTTCATTCGCTCAACTGTTAATTACGCTCATGATTCGTTGGTCATGTGAGTGTGCACACGTATGTTGCCTTCATTCCTACTGCACGGCGTGTTTTAACACTGTAAGGTCAGCCTGTCTCCCGGCTGTGTGAGTGGCCGTGGCCTTCAGTCTTCTGTGTATGTGTCCCCAGACACTTCCGAACCCTGTGCTCCGATGACACGCCCATGGTGCGCCGAGCTGCCGCCTCTAAGCTGGGCGAATTCGCCAAGGTGCTGGAGCTGGAGTACGTCAAGAGTGACATCATCTCCCTTTTCACCGCGCTGGCTTCTGACGAGCAGGTACAGCACGGTGCTGCCCCTTCACCAAGCATATCAGATCAAACTCCACTAGACACCCACGAGCCCCCTGTTCTTCCCCACCTGCCTGTCCCCTCCTGAGCCCTGCACCTCTGACATCTGATCAGCTCTCATTAACACCCGTTCTCCAACAGGAACATTTCTCTCACCTTTTAAAGTTACGTTCTCTTTAATAACCTTTAATAATACATTTTATTTTACGTAGTGCCTTTAAAGGTGGCTTCTCAAAGCGCAGTTTACAGAACGACCGTGCTTGACATGCATGCTTCGCTGTTGCCAGTTGTGAAATGTGTGACTGAGCACAAGAGCTGCAGCAGCTAAAAAGGCCTTGAACTCCTACTGCTCCGCAGATTGATCCATGACAGGTTTTACCAGCTCCAGAAAAGACGTCTTAGTCAGCATGATTTACTGGGTTTTCTAAATTTGAGTATTTCTACAAAAATAATACTCACCAAAGTTCACCCAACAAATAATATTGCATATCTCTGGAAGTCCACCCTTTTATTTCTAGACCTTTCGCGTAGAAAGTCTGTGCCAACGGCCCCACTACACAGCAGGTCAGGTGGAGGAGCGAGAAAATGCTTCAGCAGTAGAATTAGGGGAGAACTTGGGTTTGACCGATCATACTAAGAGCAGCACCCCTGCTCTTACAGACAGTGTGCCGGGGGTCTTTAATGAGTGCTTAGTTAGGAGTCTCCCTGGCGGTGATAACTGTAGTGCCGATAGGATTATTTTATTGCAAAACTGCATCCAAGGTAGCTCTTGTGAGATCCTGAGGCTGCACCAGTCAGCTGCCCTGGGAGGGGTGGGCCTGTGCTCGGTGGGTTGAGGTGCCCTGTGCTGCCCTGCAGGACTCGGTGCGGCTCCTGGCGGTGGAGGCCTGCGTGAGCATCGCCCAGCTGCTGCCGCAGGAGGACCTGGAGGCCCTGGTGATGCCCACCCTGCGCCAGGCGGCCGAGGACAAGTCCTGGCGGGTGCGCTACATGGTGGCGGACAAGTTCTCCGAGGTGAGCGAGACCCCCCCCGCTGCTGCTGCTGCTGGCTGCTCCCCTCGGAGCCATGTTCCCCGGTGGTGTGAAGTGGGGGGCTGGGGGGGGCACGTCGAAGTTCAAAATCTCTCCCTCCTTTCCGTAACCCAGTCTGCAGCTCCCGGTTTCCAGTATAAACTTTCTCAGTCCTTCAAGGATTTGTGAAGATAAAACGTTATTCAAAGGATGAAAAAACATTGGAGTTCTGTAAGTCTTCTTGACGCATTATGTGCTACGTTGGATAGAAAGGCATGGTGTTGATTTTTATCCCATCCCACCAGGGGAACACTTCAATTTAACAAAAAAGACTTAGTCATTTCGGTGTGCTTGTCATTATCCTTCCCCGCTCTAGTGCCTCCTAGTCTAGCGGTTTCTTTCCCGTGAGGAATGTAGTTGAAAGGAATCTCAAAGATTCCCCGAGGAAGGACAGAGCTGTGTGCAGACAGTCGGGACTAGAAGTGAAATGACTGTAGCTGCAAACAAGCAGTTGCGATCCCTGGAGTTGCTCGGCAGGCTGTTTTCATTAAATGGGGCTTAAAGGTCTTTGTGCTCCCCGTGTGGGCTTGGCTCTTAAGCCCCTGCTTGCCTCCAGGTGTGAGCCAGCAGAGCCGCAGTGACAGCGCAGGCCCTGTGCGGGGCTGCTGTGCTACAGGCACCTTCTGAGGAGCGCGCAGCTCGAGAGGGGTGCTTGGTCGCAGGTCCCCTCAGACAGGGTGGAGACTTGCCCAAATCCGGCCTTGTGCCCCCCCCCAGTCTGGGGGGTTGACGGGGGCAGTTGTGTAACGCGACCTCAGTAAGAAACGGGCCTTGAGCTCTGGCAGCGGCACCTGACGTGCAGTGGTGGCCAGGCGGGGTGTTGATTGCTGGCGTGCAGCGCGGCCACCCGCTGCCTGGGGACACGCCCGCTGTTTTGGCACGTTTCTTTGAAGAACGCCAAGCATTTGCCATGTTTTTACCGCAGATGTGGGTTATAGCTTCATTTTTCTATTTGCTACTGGTCTCTTCTGCTCTGCCGACAAAAAAAAAATAAGCCTGCAAAGTTGTGCTGGTAATAACCATATACAAACGGACCAAATAGCACCACCTTGCAATAGTAAGGTGGTGCTATTTGGTCTGTATTTTGAAAGCATCTAAAAATCTGGTTCCCTGATTCACCTGCATTAATGATTTTGAAGAGCAGAGCACACATTTCTAGTCCAGTTTTGGCAGAGGTGGTGTTAAATGGTTCCCACAGTAGGTAGTACTTAGTGGATACTGGAACATCCAACAGAGAAAGTCAGTGGTGATTTTATTTGACATTGGAATGAATATTCCCTTAGAATCAATAGCGTTAAGTGCACTTAATGCTTGCACTAAAGTCACCTCGGTGAAAACCAGTAGTCACGATTACTTGTCCTGCCAATTAAGTGACTTTGGGTATTGCAGGCTGCTAACGCACCTCACTTATGTGTGGGGGAAAAACACTATAAAAGCATGTAAAAATATTGCGTTCAGCTGTCCTTGGATCCTGTCTTTTTGTTGTCTCCTCTCATTTTCCATTCTGGCTGCGAACGGCCCCGGATTAATAGAATTAGTAACCTTGGAGACCATGAACACCTGTACAGACCACGGATAACCTCCCAGCAATCGCTGGCTTGCCTGCAGAAGTCCTTGGCAGTGAGGCTGTGATTAGTTTTGTGATGCAGGTACACCTACAAGTGCCTTTTACAGAGGCAGTGTGGCCTCGCCTCCAGGAGCCTGAGGTCTGCTTCTGAAACTTCGCACGTTAACAAACCCACTGCGCAAATTCTAATCCGTTAAAAACAAGTTTTTTGTTCAAGTAAAGCTTTCATGTACAGTTTATTTTCATTCATATAGGCCTGTTTAACCTCGCACATGAGGAGAATACTACTGTCTTGCTTCTTTTTGGGTTTCTCCATGCATAACATAACATCACTTTATTAGCCCTATACAACTTCTTGCATTAGGAATTTCTTTTCGCATTCCCCAGCTTGGGGTAGAGCGCAGGGTCAGCCATTGTACAGCGCCCCTGGAGCAGCTGGGGTTAAGGGCCTTGCTCAGGGGCCCAACGGAGTAGGATTCCTCTGCTGGCCGCGGGATTTGAACCGGCAACCTTCCAGCCACAGGCGCAGATCCTGAGCCACCGCTCCGCCCATGAAGTTGCAGTCCTGTTCAGAGATGATAATGTACGGGCCTGGCACTGTGGGCAAGTGAGATTTTCAGTTTTCCCCTGTGCGCTCTCCTCTTCCAGCTCCAGAAGGCAGTGGGTCCAGAGATTACCAAGAACGACCTGGTACCAGCCTTCCAGAGCCTCCTGAAGGACTGCGAGGCTGAGGTCAGGGCTGCGGCAGCCAACAAGGTCAAAGGTCAGTGCTGGGGCAGGCTGTGATTGTGCTGGAGTTGGCCTCTGATTCATTCTTCCCTTACCACAGTGATGCACAAAGAGCTTTCTTTCCTTTTAATGCTTTCCAGATGATTAGAGAAAAAAATAACTTGCTAAAGCATTAAGTCAGGAGTGTAACACAGACACCAGGAGTGGAGGCTACAGATGGGGAATTAATTGCACATACATTCAGGATCAGGAGCTAGTAGCCTATTTTTCTGTATGCAAAGAGCTGGAGATGTGCAGAGTTACTCCACAAGCCTTTATGTTGAGACCATGTCCTCAGAAGTCCCCAGAAAACGGATCATTGAAAGACTTACAGCAACCAAATGAGTGTTAATGTCTTGACTGGCTGCTTTAGACCAAGATCTTGTTTTCTTGAGCTCGTTGAGCGATTATTCAATTCCTGGTGGGAGCAGTTCAGCCTTTTGTTGCGATCCCGAGAGACTGCTCTGTGCTTAAAACATTAGATTGGACGTGGTTCTATTTTTTTTAAAGTATCTTTTGTTATCTGTTTGAAGTTTGTAAGTCAAATCACCCTGTTATGAGATACGCTTGGTATCAAAATAACATTCCCATTTGCTTATCTGTCTTAATATTGTATTGAATTTATATTGTTTGATTAAGATACCAGTGATAGTACTGGCAGGTGTGGGGCAATACATTTGCTTCTTTGTTTTAAAGTTTGCAATTATTTGAATATTATGATCCAGCACAAACAGTGACTTTTAGGAAATAAAGGAATACAGTTGGCGATTAGGAGGAAAATGGTTTAAGCTCATTATAAACCCCATCACTCATCCCTGTCTGCGGCTTCTCCATTAACGTTCAGATGGAATGGAAAAAGTAGGACGGACATGGTGATGGTGTTTAGGATTGCAGCACTAGGGCCCTGGGTTCAGTTCCTGGGGTGCTATTTGCATAAAGTTTGTATGTTCTTGTGGGTTTCCTCCCATAGTCCAAGGACATGCTGGTAGGTTAATTGGCTTCTTGGGGAAAACTGGCCCTGGTGTGTGTCTGTCCGCCCTGAGATGGACTGCTATCCCGTTCAGGGTGTATCCTGCTTTGATACTGGATACTTTGATACTGTTGCTTGCTGGGATAGGCTCTGGCTCCCCTGTGCCCCAGTGTTGAATAGAGAGGTTAGAAAATGGATGATTGGAAGAGCTGCAGAGAATAAGCAGATATGTAGATGGTAAGATGTTTGTATAACTGTTTTGATCCCTGCTGCACAAACAACTCCACTCCTGACCAGCTGGTTTTTCCCCCTCTCAGAATTCTGTGAAAATTTGCCAGAGGATAGCAGGGAGACCATCATCATGAGCCACATCCTGCCCTGTGTCAAGGTGAGTGTCATGTCTGCTCTGCGCTATGTGCTCCAGAGGTGGCGCATGTTCTCAGTGAATGCTTGTGTGCTGTTCTTTGTCTTCCTCTGTGGTATAGCTCTGACTTCTTCCAGCAATGAGCAGTATTGAGATAAGAAAAATACATACAATACATATGCCTTCTGGATCTTTTGACTTTTTTTTAAGAATTGCAAGCAACACAGTCAATAAATTGTTCCTGTGCCTTTTTATCTTAAATTATATAAGCTTTTTATTTCATGTAATAAAATGTACTATACAAAATACCAAGCTATGCAGTTGACCTACCCTTATAGGACACCATTGACATTCCTTAATTGTAAACCTATATAGTATTTCTGACTGTGTGTTGTTGTTTTTCATTTGAAATTCACTAAAACATCCGAAGCACCCATAGTAAACAATTTGCTTGTCCCTACACCGTTTGCCCTATACTTACTGTTATCGCGAGGGAAGTCTGGTACTTTTCATTTTGCAGACAAAACTCCACTTGATCATATTTTGTCTGTGTAAACTGAGTGTTTACTGTGGACCCGAGCAGATTGTTCTGAAGAGATTCACAGACGACAGGATGATCGTTCAGGAGATCTCGGTTTATGTACTTTGTGTTTAAGGCAGGTGAGGCAGAGGAGGGATTCAGCAGTCTCTGTGCCGATGGCTTGTCAGCATTTGGGCGTTTTGTATAAATGCTACACAAGAATGAAGATCATCCTGCAACTCCCACACGCTCTCCTTTTCTCTTGCTGTACTTCCTGCTGATAGTTTGGTCAAAAACCCTTCTGGCTGCTGCTCGGAGGAGATTGTTGTTTCGGAGCTCAAAACCTAGAGAGCGTCCGAGCCGAAGACGTGGAAACTTGTGTGCCTTTGGTGGCTTGACCTGCCCGTCACTGCTTGTTAAGCAGCGCCTCGGTGTGGACCGGGCCGGGCGTGTGTAAATCAGACCGTAGGAACAGGCTTGTACAGGCCAGCACATGGCTCGACCCGCTTGTACATCTCGAGGATGTACAGGGCACAGGCCGATCACCTCCTACGAAACTCCCTGGCAGTGCTAGAAGAAGTATTTGTCTCCTCGTTTTCCTCGCGTCCGGTCTCCTAGCTGACCTCTCGGCTTGATGATAAAGCTGTTGTTCTCCTGGTGCAAGGGTTTGTCAGACTGGGCCTGGCTGTAGGCTTGTTTAGCCTGTTGATGCTGAATCTTCCTCCCAGTTTATCAGCTGCTTGTTGTAGTTTCTCAATTAGAAAGTGAGTTCTGGTAAAGCCACTCAGGGTAGCGGGGCAATGCCCTTGGCTTCTCGGGGCTACAGGCCATAACTCAAGAACTACATCCTAACTGGATGGCTGCTGGTGTTCTGCATTCCCAACAGAGGGCGCTGTTGCACATTCATTCGCTCCCAGGTGGCGTTTCTTTCTCACCCTTGGGGAAGGGCAGAGTGATTTTCTCTCTATCCAATGGGCTTCCTTGCCGATATCAGCCACTCTGGTCTGGCACCACTTAGCGCACACTGCAGAGACCTTTTACAAGGGCAGGAGTTTAAACTGTTGCAGATGTTGTTTCTGCACAAAAACACTTGCTTTTGCTGAAGGACCTGATGTGCATTACTCCTAAGCTGACTCATAACTGGATATGTTCAGGCATTGCAGGCAAAAGAAAACAAACATCAGAACCAGCCTTGACTTGGGCTTTTCTGAATTGTCATGCTGGTGTTTTTTTTTTTATATTGTTGACAGTCTCAGTTCCCTCTCATCAAACATATTCTTGAAAGAGTAGCTGTTCTAACGTGCACCATTTCCATTTTCACTATTGTGCCGCCTGTGCAAGGAGCTGTGCACTAACAGATCCTGAACGCTGTGTTGAGGCTATAGTGTGCAGCAGTGTTCAGGGCCTCTGCGGTTGTCTTCCTGCTGCCCACGGATTGCTCCAGTAAAATGACCAGCTCTATGCCTTTGAACAAATATAAACTGCATTGGATAAAAAGCCTTAACCGAATTGAATCTATTATTGCCGTATAAATGAACTGAAAATATTTGGGGGGGAAATTCCATTGTGTAGGTCTGCCCATCTGGCACGCAGTGTCAAAGGGTGTTTTGTTTCTCCTGCGTGAGTGACGTGCCGGAGCCCTGCTGGTTTCTCAGTAAGTCCTGGGGTCTGACCGTGGGGGTTTCCTGGAAGCCCTCATGCGTCACCGAGGTAGGGTGGTGTGTACTGCGGAGGTGCTGGGAGGCTTGTTTGCTTACCTGTCATGGGCTCTCTGAGTTTGTAAAGGTGGCGGCGGTGTGCACCTGTTTGAGCTCCCATTTATCAGCACCCTTCCTGCTCCCCAGACTTATCTTGGCAAAAAAGCTTTGCGGTTCCACCCCCCCCCTGTCTCTTTGAGTTTCGTTGTTGACTTGAGGCTGTCCAGTTTCCTTTGCTCATTAAAACATGCCTTATCATGCCAAAGATAAGAAATGGAGAGATTAGCCTAATGGGGCTGTGTTGACAAAGAAGTGTGTTCTTAGGACTTCTCACACCCCCAATGTGAGGGTCAGTGAGCAGCGTCGAGCTCATTTGGACTGTAGGGATGGCCTTGGGTTGTGCGGTTGACCCGTTGGAATACAGGTTTTAATTGTGAGCTTACTCATTTTGATCTTTGTTTACAAAACGAGGAGGCCATTTGGCCCATCTGGATGGTTTGTTTTTAAATGATCCAACAGATGTCATGCAGCTGCTTTGGTGAATCAAACATGGCTATATAGCTTGTTCCAAACTCCGGCAACCCTTTTTATGAAAAAGGTGCCATCTGATCTCTGGCTCAGATGTGCTTTCTCTCTTCGTTGATGGGTGAAGAAACTGTGAAATTCCTCTTGGCCTGTGTCTTGTCCTCACAGCTAGAGTTGACAATTTTCTGTGCTCCAGGGGTGGCCTGAGTTCCTAGCCCTGTTGTCAGAGAGGAGAATAGACTGTTGGAGTCTCTACCAGCAGCCACGTCACCCTGCAGCTAACAACTGGCAACCCACTGGAGCTCAGCAGTGTGAGCCTGGCCAGTACCTGGATGGGAGACTCCTGGGGAAAAACTAAGGCTGCTGCTGGACGTGGTGTTAGTGGGGCCAGTAGGGGGTGCTCAACCTGCGGTCCATGTGGGGATAGTAACGGGGACACTATACTGTAAACAGGCGCCGTCCTTCAGATGAGACGTAAAACCGAGGTCCTGACTCTCTGTGGTCATTAAAAATCCCAGGGCGTTTCTTGAAAAGAGTAGGGGTGTAACCCTGGCGTCCTGGACAAACTTCCCATTGGCCCTTACCAATCATGGCCTCCTAATAATCCCCTCTATGAATTGACTTCATTACTCTGCTCTCCTCCCCACTGAGAGCTGATGTGTGGGGAGCGTTCTGGCGCACTATGGCTGCCGTCGCATCGTTCAGGTGGGGCTGCACATTAGTGGGGGTGGAGGGGATCCCCATTACCTGTAAAGTGCTTTGAGTGGAGTGTCCAGGAAAGAGCTATATAAGTGTAAGCAATATATATTGTTTTGGAGGGGGGTTCAGAATCCAGCAGTTGTCCATTAAACTTCAGTGATCAGCCCCCTTTTTCTGTTTCGAAATGACAGTCTCCAAGTTGTACTGTGAAATCGCCAGCACCTGGCTGGGTTAACCGACAGCCTCTGTCTGGTGAGACAAACCCTCCAGCTGCAGACACATGATCCCTCATCAGCAGTTCGGCTGACCTATTTAACTCAAACGCGGCGTTGTGCAGAACCTGTTTTCTTGATAAGGTTCCCCACTGAGGCTGTTCTTACTATTTCGATTTTTTTTTTTTCCCACAGAACAGGCTAGCGTTTATTGAACTTGCATGCAAAAAAAGTAGATATTGCAGGGCCGACACTCTTGCACAAGAGACAGTTCAAGTACGCAGAGATAAAGAGCAGTTAAGCATTAAAACTGGCCACACGTTCATGTTTTTTTTTTATGTGGCTTTTCCTGAATTGACTTAGTGAGATGGCCGGCTGTAGCCCAGATGCTGGCAAATTGATATCCGAGCCAGAGTCTCTAACGCAGTGGCTGGTGATCAGTTACTTTCCCCTGCCTGAGGTGAGGTACCTTCAGAGAACAGGAAGAAACGGGTCCAGCGTCCTGAGGTTATGAGGTTGCAGATAGCTGCACAGTCAGCATCTGACTTCCTTTTTCTGTCAGTACTTGGAAACCTTTCCCACAAACTTCTCAGCACGTTCCTGCTCTGGGGCTTCCACCACCATGACCTTACCTGATCTTGTGCTGCTGCTCAGAGAAGGCGACTCTGATCCTTAATGCAGTTTGAGGACGAACATGTTGCTGAAATTAAGAGCAGAAAAGCACGCAGCAGCATAAAGATCAAGACTATCACAAAACAGTTTTTTTTTCCCTGTGCTTGAGCACTTGTGCTTAAGGGAGTGTAGAAACGTAAGGTGCCGCATTGAGGCCTGAGAACGGCAGGCAGACCTTTACACTAAGGGTTGTGGGGGACTGGAACATACTGGCTGTGTTGTTGAAGCAGATGCATCGGGGGTTCATCCAGGAAAGTGCCGAATGGGAGCCTTGTGTCACCTCGGCCAAGTGCTCACTTGTTTGTGGCCCTGCAGGAATAGATACAGAGCCCAAGAAGCACTTTCAGAAAGCAAGGCCACCATTTTTGCAGCTGCTGCTGCCTGGTTGCATTGCTTTACTGGATTGTCTGGATCTCGATAGTCCCTCTCCCTTAGACCTACAGGCCTTCGCAGGCATACTGTGCCCTTCCCGGCTGGGTTTTTTTCCCCACGACCCTTCGACCCTTGATTTGTATATGTGCTTCCACAGTCCCTTATTTGCCTGCTTCATGTCATTCAGAGCATTCTAGTGTGCAGCTCTAAAAACTCAACAGGAGTGCATGTTGGGCTCAGGGAGGAAACTAGAAGAGACAGCATGTCAGGGCTGCGTAGGCATCATGTACTAATTAATGGCTTCTCTAACACTGATGAGCACTGTGTGCCACTCATTTTGCTCCCCAACTGTATTGTTTTGTAGCTGGTATGCCAGTAACTTTGCATATGAATTTGTGACTCAAATTTGTTACCAAAATACGGGTTTTGTGTAAGGATCAAACTGTATTGGGGAAACACATCAGTCGTTTAAAAAAAGTTTTTAGTGTGGCTAGAAATTCAGTGGTTTACTCGCCAGTTTCCCTGTTATACTTATCTCGATTCTTTTTCAGCGTTTTCAAATTTCAAATCGCGTCTGCGTCGCGATAACCTGCCCGCTTCCCGCTCCAGCGGGTTTAGGTCCATGGTGCTGGATGTGGGCTCAGTTTGGTAAAAGAAGCAGTGTGGTTTTTTTTAAACCGGCAGACTAATTCCAAACCCTTCATAGCTACAGCAACGCAAATAAATCCTACCTGGGCGAGGGGTTAATGATCTGTGTGCGCAAATAAGAGAGGCGGCCATGTGAGCGACACATGTTTTGGTCTCCAGTCTGCTGGGAGGAGGCCTGCCGCGCTGGTGCCTGCGGATGGGCGTGTGCCTGCCGAGCCTGCCCCTCTGCAGGGGCGGACAGACTGGGTCCCACAGCACACCTGTCCAACTGTTTCTTCAGCTGTTTTTCTAGTTCTCTCAAGCACCGTGCAGAGTGGTTCCCCCCCCCCCCCCCACACACACACACAATTCACGACCGGTATTTTGAATATGCGGCAAATGTCTCTGCCTCAGGAAGGAAGATTATCGAAACGGTGGCGGTGCCGAGCGTCCTGTGCCCTCTTCTCTGTATCTGATGCCATTCCTTCCTTTCGCCTGCTCACAGGAGCTGGTGTCGGACACCAACCAGCACGTGAAGTCGGCGCTGGCGTCGGTCATCATGGGCCTGTCCACGATCCTGGGCAAAGACAACACCATCGAGCACCTGCTGCCCCTCTTCCTGGCGCAGCTGAAAGACGAGGTGAGTGTGCCCACGCCCCCCCCGGAAGACACCTGTCCTCTGTTCGTGTCCCTTAGGGTGTCCGTCTCTTTTGTTTTGTTTCCTCTTTGCGAGACCTTAAAAATCGTGGTTATTTTCAAGTAATATTAATTTCCTTTAAAAAAGGAGGCAATGCACCCAGTTCCAAAGGAAAGATACACCTCTCCCGTGTGCTTTCAGTGCAGAGAGATGTTTCGAAAGACTGACAAGTTCTTGGGAAGTGTCTTCCCTCTGTCACCCCCCTCCTCCCCTCAGGGCTAGTTCACATGTGGTAGCAATCACGGGGAACACTTGCGTCCTTTGCCGCTCCACACGCCCTGTCTGTTGTAAGTGTTGGCTGATGCAGAACACTTGTGTGTCGTGTGGGTGTCCATCTCCCTGTTGCCCGGGGTGGCTGGGGGTTTTGTGCTTTCTGAGCCCTCTCTGCCCTCCAGGTAGATCGGCCCTCATGTTGTGACATCGGGCGCACGTTTCAGTTGTTGGCTTCCTGTAGGCTCTGAAGCCAGCTGCCAGGAGATCTTTTTCCGGGGTAAAAAGAACTCCTCAACATTCCCAAGAAACCTGGGTTTTTTTCCCCCTCCTCCCCACCCGTTTTACGGAGCACCTCCGCCGCGTCCCGAAAAGCCTTGATGTTTCTGCCGCCGGCCAGCGGGGGTGGGAGATGTGAAGGGAGCAGGGTCGTGAGGCCGAGGGGGTGAACATGGTGCTTCCCAGCTTTCCAGGCCCTTTGATGTGGATGTGCTGGATACCGCTCGCTTCCTGCGATGCCTGCTGCTTCCTGTTTGAAGTCCTCCCCAGTCTCCGGCAAGAATAGCTTGCTTTCACGTCTCTGCCCCTGCTGCAGCTGGGAGCACCGCGGCGCTGGCCAAGCTTCTGGCGTGCAGCACTGAAGCCTTTTCATCCCCAGAGGCAGGAAACAGCCTAGAAGGGAAAGGCCAAATGGTAGAGGGGGAAAAAAAAGAAAGCCGGGAAGGCGTGCTCGAACAGGACCCGCAGTTTTAAAGTTGCGTTCGTGCTGGATTCAAACTGCCTTCAGGTTTTGTGACTCGGATTTAAAATTTGAAATTGAAATGGATCGTCTTTTGATGTGTGGCTTAAGAGGGGCCCTCCTTTCAAGTTCCTGAAAGCGGCAGGAAAATTAGCAATTGTATGTAGCGAATCCAGGTGGGAGCTGGCAGCTCTCCGTCGCGGACAGACACAGCTGCCAAGAGGATCTGGGCTCTCTTCACTGCGATTGTTAAAACATTTCGGAAGCTCAAAGAAACTGTCAACGGACCTCCTCTGTAATCCATCTTTCTTTTTCACTGCGGCACAAATTAACTTGTCCGCAGTTCTTTTTTAAAAAAAAAACTTTTTAGTCTCCTAATTATAATTCTTGTGGCCGTTTATAATCCTGGCTGTTAATTCAGGCTGCTGTGCGTTTGTGGCGAGCGCACCAGACAGCTGGCACGTCGGTGCCTCCATCTTGGACACTGGAGAAGAAGCGTTCAATATGTCCCGTTATATTCATCTGCATAGTATTTAACTCTCCATGCTGGAGATATTGGTAACTTTTTCAAATCGCTATGAATTTAAAGGCAGAGGGCTGCTCAGGTTCATTATGCAGCTTGAACAGGGTTAACCAGGTATTGATCATCTTGTAACATTTCACTTGTCAGCATCGGGTCTTTGGCCAGCGACCCGTGTTCCTAGAAGCTAAGAGACAACGGTGACTTCTGATCAATTTTGCTCTGTCCCTGAACACAGTGTGCGTTTTGCTCAGAAAAATGCAGGATTTTGATAAGATGTCAAGAGCATCTTATCAAAGGCTTTTGTGTTTTGTCGCACATGTTTTTTGTTTTTTTTCCCTTTTCACAGAGTCAAAGAGCATGAAATGTTAAGGGAGACATCAGCCCCCAACCCAGGCCTACCCTTTTCCTAAACTTATAATCGGCGCAGTTACCTTGTTATTTGTACTATAAGGACACCAGCGCAGCTAGTGACAGGAGGATCTTTAGACTGAAGCCTTTTAAAAAGATAAAGGAACAGTAAACCAGAGCCCTTGGCAAGGAGATGTCCTCTGTTCTTCTCTGCGGTGCCAGCTTTCTCATCAGCCTGTTTGCTAGAGTCCCTGACAAGTGTGCTCACCCCCATCCTCTCTCTCTCCCAGTGCCCCGAGGTGCGCCTCAATATCATCTCCAACCTGGACTGTGTGAATGAGGTGATTGGGATCCGGCAACTGTCTCAGTCCCTGCTGCCCGCCATCGTGGAGCTGGCTGAGGACGCCAAGTGGAGGGTGCGCCTGGCCATCATCGAGTACATGCCCCTGCTGGCCGGGCAGCTGGTGAGTCCTGACGCTGCGATGGTCTCGGGGGTGTGTGTGGAGCTTCAGGGCGGCAGGCATATCACATGTGTCCTGTTGGCACAATAACCAAGATGAGGCTCTTGAGAGACCTCTTAATATTTATGCATATCTGGGGACACTGAACTATTTCAACAGATGGGCACAAATGTTATTCACTGGAATGTCTTAACTACAGCTTGCTCGGGTGAGAGAGTATGCACTAAACACCGAAGAGGCCTTATTGACTTGCTAAGGGTTAACGGTATTAATTGCACTTAATCTTTTTTGGCTTAAGTATAACCACTTTTTATACCTGCTGATGTGTGTGCAGTTGTATTCTGTGATCTTTAAAACATGAAGCAGTATTTTATTTCGCTGTGATTGTATCATTTTTGCAGCATTGTGGACGGAATATTGGGAAGACATTTTATAATGAAGTGCAGAGCCCTGCTTTGATTTAGTTCTTCCTCTAAGTTAATTACACCTCGTCTGTCGCTGATGGGTGTGGGCAGGTGTGTTTTATAACCCCGAGGCAGCCAGACGTGAGGGGACGCAGTGGTTTTTCAGTTCACGTGCCCGTCTCGACCCCAGCCCGCGGGCCTGACCGCTCTTCTCTGTCCTCAGGGGGTGGAGTTCTTCGATGAGAAGCTGAACTCCCTGTGCATGGCGTGGCTCGTCGACCACGGTAAGCTCCTCGCTGTTCCTTCATTGAGATCCTGCCACTCCTCCTGCGCGGGGTGATGGGGTTGAGAAGTGATTTTGGGCGACAAAGCCTGCTTCTCTCGCGGTGTCTTAGTTCCGCCTAGACTCCTTTCCATCACATCTTAACATCCGGACAGGTGGGGCCAATGCAAGCTTTTCCAGAACCAGGCCGAATGAGTGAAATGCCCAAGCTCGCTCCCCTGTTTCATCGGTGCCTGTGATTCATAAGGATCAAACTCTGTCATCAATTACATTTTTATGTAGAACCTTTCAGGGAAATCAGCTTTGGGGAGGACAAATACGTGCCTTAAAACTGTCTGGAACATGTAGGTAAGAAATGGATCATCCTGCCCCCTGAGACCAGTAGGTTTGCTGTGATTTAGTCCTCCTTCAGCCGGGAGGCTGGAGTGAGATCGAGCCCTGAGCTGCCCAGAACCAGCCCCCCCCGCCCCACACTGGGGGAAGGACGTGTGGGACTGCAGCTCCTGGGCCGAGTGGTGACTGCCTGCCTGGCCTGTGCGCAGGCCCAGCCATGCGTCTTGACGGAGTGTCCAAAAGGCGTCGGATAAGAAAGTGGAGCAGCAGCCTGGGAAATGCCCGTATATGCTTTGTTCTATATTGCTTTCTTGGCTCTAGTATCTACTTGAAAACAGCATTTTATCGATTTATTGCTTTGTGTAATTAAGTCTGAACTATATTCTGAAAGTATAAGATAACATTTCACACCGCTCCTACTACAAAGGCGCCCTATCTTTGTTGACTTCTTGCTAGATTTTGCTTTCGGAAGAATGTTGGGCGAGACAGGTGCAAATATCACTGCAGATGTTGTAGGGCTGCATCCCATTAGGAAGTTCCAAGAGCCTTTGAAGTGGTGAGGTGCTGTCTAAATAGGATCCAGACCTCCAGCTCTGAGGCTGTGGTGGGCAGCATGCCAGCGCTCGGTCTGTGGGACCCGAGCACTGCGCCTGCGTCCTGAAACTTGCCGTTTCCTGAAATGCCAGCAGTCCCCTTGGCAGCACAGAAAGGGCACACGGGGAGATTAGAATCGCTGCTCTGTAGCCACTACAGACCCTGTACTGGACTACCAAGCATGATGGGGGTCTGGTAGTCTTAGCGGGATGCCCTTTTGTTTTTAATCTTTTTTTTTCTACAAAGATGTCCCATGCTGGACGTGCTGACATCCTGTGTGAATATGACCTGTGCGTGTATTTGAGGGCATGGTAGTTGCGGTACGCGGCGCCCATCTGCAATCTGTGCGTTATCACTCTCTCTCTGTCTGTCAGCCTGCAGTCCTTCCTCTCCAGTTCTGTTATCCCACAGACACGCCCAGTGTCCCACTCCCAAAGGCTGTGCACTTCGGAGCCAACTTCAAAGCAAATAACTTACTGGGGGGGGGGGGAGAGATTACATCACTGGAATGTTCCTGCCTGTCCTCCATGGTGCAGGATAGCTATTTCTGATGACGTGAGAGTGTATGATGAGCTTGGCTAGAGAGAGAGAGGAGCTCAATCCCTGGCTGTAGCAGTGGCAGCAGTTTTCCTTGAATGGTATTGTGCTGTCTGTTTTATTGTGGCCCCAGAAAGCATCTGTCAGCACTGAATCACTCCACAGCAGGAGAGATTAGGACCACAGTGTAGCCGTACTCTTGGCATATATTCTCCGGTTCCAATTTTCCAGGCCTGGTGATTACCCATCCCATTTTACTATCCTAAAAACATTCCAGACTGTTTAGAGAATCCAACCGATAGGTTCAGTCGGTCTTGTGTTAACGTGTACAGAGTAGCAATACCTCGTGTTTGACATTCTCGGAAAAGTGTGGGCTTGCAGATTGAATTAAGAGGGAAATTGCTGTGCCAGCGGGTACTGGTCTGTACTTACAAGGATCTAACTGCTCAGTTAGCAAGCATGGTGCGAATGAGAGGCACTTTTTTACACTTTGGGCTGTGGTAGACTTATTACCCCTGTTCTATTGTGACTCCGGAAGCTGGAGGTGTCGTTTTGAGTGATGCTAATGTTTCTTAAGAGATTGTTGTCACTGCTAACTTTTCGTTCTGGGATAAACCTCGAAGTTCCATTGCTATATTCTGGTAGTTAAGCACCTGAAATTTCGTAATACTTTACAATTCCTCGGAGCTGGTCTGTTTTGAATGTGCACATTCCCTTTTCAGACAAGTAGTGTTCCACTATGACATCCTTAATACTGACATTTTTGGTTGGTGGTGGTGCTGCATGTTCTTATGGTTCAGATTTTGTTCCTCCCCAGAAGTCGTCTCAGGGCAGTGGTGTCCAAGCGTGCCCATCAGGTTGTGCAGCACACACACTTTTAAAGATGCTAGACAGCAGCCGATGTGCCCTTGTTTCTGCAGTGTACGCTATCCGAGAGGCAGCCACCTGCAACCTCATGAAGCTAGTGGAGAAATTTGGGGCGGAGTGGGCACAGAACACCATCGTCCCCAAGGTCCTGAGCATGGCCAATGATCCCAACTACCTGCACAGAATGACCACACTCTTCTGCATCAATGTGAGTCCAGTCGTGTTTTCTGCTCCAGGGCATGTCCGCCTCTAGCAGTTTTGCCTCCAGTGAAATGGGAATCTGGGTCAGGCTGTCTGCTGAACATGTCATAATATTCTGACACTTAGCTGTCTGCCGGTAGAGAACTGACAACAGTGATGGTATACCTCTAAACTCATAACAAAACACCTTTTCAGGCCTTTTCTGTTTCGAATTATTTTCGTATACTCAGGGGAGCCATGCTGTCTCTTCCATTTCACATATGAAGGCGGCTCTCTGAAACAGCCTTGTGCCTTGTCCTGAAACAGCTCGCATAGGGATTGGGTTGTGTTTCACACACTGCCTATTCAGTTGAGCTTTAGAAAAATGAAAATCAGCCTTCACCTGAAATTATATTGATATTGTTTCCCGATGCTTCAGAGGAGGGAGGGACAGAAACAGGATTTTCAGCCATCGTGTTTCCCTGTTACCAGCCAGACTCCTGGCAGTGCTTCTGTTGCTGTGTCAGTGTTGGCTCAGTGCACGTTCAAGGGCCTTTCGTATTCAGGTCTTGCCCAATAACATTCCACTTACAAGAATTTTTGGAAAAGTCCATTAAAGAAATCGCCGCCAACTGCTACAATGGAGATAAAAGACAAGTGCTTTGTCATTAAAGCACTTTAAAAGCAATTCAGTTGAATGCATCTTAAGTAGGAGAATTTTCATTTTGGCTAAGGCAGACTTATCACATTCTTTGCTTTTCTTAGTTTGTAGAGGAAAATGTATTTTTGACCATCCCGCATCAGTGCTGTGTGTGGCTTTGCAGGCTCTCTCTGAGGCCTGTGGTCAGGAGATCACCACCAAGCAGATGCTGCCCGTCGTTCTGAAGATGTCCAACGACCAGGTGGCCAACGTGCGGTTCAACGTCGCCAAGTCCTTGCAGAAAATCGGCCCAGTTCTTGACAGCAAGTACGCGCTGAAGCGACCGGTGTTTGTTTTTCATTTTGGGTTTGTTGAAGGGATGTTGAAGAAAGTCTAGACCAAAGCCTCAACTCAGTGTACCGACTTTGTAGACTTGGGTTCTCTAACGTTCTCTCTGGGTTTTCTAACGTCTGTCTGCAGCAGCATAGCAGTACTTGACATTTGACATGTGAGCGAACCCTCCGCCAGGGTGTGATGTGGTTTTTGCTATTTTGAGAGGATGTGGGTGGTTGGGAGAAGGGGGGTTAGTCTATTGCAATACGAGACAGGACTTGGGGTTGGGAGGGGGCAATACTCAGGAGACTTGGCCTGTAAGTCTGTAAGAGCCCAAGTTCACTTGTCCCCTGTGCCTTACAGTGCCCTGCAGACAGAAGTCAAGCCTGTGCTGGAGAAGCTGGCCACAGATCAAGACATGGATGTCAAATACTTCGCCCAGGAAGCTATAAGTGGTATGCATTCCTACTTAACTTTTTTACTTCACTGACAGACCACATGGTGAACTGTAAATGCCTGGACAAGACTACATGTCTTGGCTAAAGAGTTCCCCAGCTCAGCTTGCAGATTCTTGAGGAAACAGCCAGCCTATTACTCCTTCACAGTTAATCACGTCTGACCCCCTGACCCCTGAGTGGGAAATTATAGATTGCTTGATTACTGGGAGTGCAGTGTTCCTGGTTGTAAGCAGGGCTCTCTGCTGCTCAGGTAAGCCTAGCAGGCTCGCTGTCCTTTTCCCTGAAGCTGTTGTCCTGATCTTGCTTAACTTGGAGAAACGGCTGGTTGAAAAGAATATTGCCCAGCTTGTTTGTGGTTTTGTGGCTGTAATGCTTTGTTGCATGTTCTCATGCATGCATTGTCAAACCTGTCTACGTTTACAGCATTGTTCAGTAAAAATGGTTTAGTGAGGCTGGTGATGAAGGTGATGGTGTGCTTTTAGGCAAAGTTTATTGGCTTGATGTGGCTTTTAGGGGTCTTGGGCACCTCTCTGCCCAGCGTGTGTTGAGACGCAGTGCGTCATGGATCTCGTCTCTTCCTCCTGGAGGGCCTAGTATCTTCCGGCTTGTGTTCCCACTGCAGTCGGCAATGCAGGAACCGAGTTGGGGACCCCTGCAGTATTTTATCTACGCAGTGTATTTCAAGGAAGGCTGCTCTTATGAGAGCAGGCCTTTCTGCATCTTGGATGTATTTTTTTAATCTCTTGAAGTACCTTTTGCACTACTGAGTGTAGTGTAACTTAAGACTAGGACAGCATGAAGTGATGGGTTTAAAGAACATGGTTGACTTAACTCGGTGTTGGCCAGCAAGCAGTGGATGTTTTTCCTTCCACCTTCCCGTTGCACAACATCGGTCAGGATCAGAAACGACTGAGCTGCTTTTCAGTGTTTGCTTGTTACTCCACTCCAAAGCATGGTTTCAATCCAGCTATATTTGAAAACTTACGCATTTAGACTTTATAGGCACTTGTGCGATTAAGCTGATAGTATTGTGCGTCAAGGGATTAGACATGACCTTGTAATTCCTGTGTTTTTTTTTTTCCTTCTCTACAGTTCTTGCCCTGGCTTAAGACAGACACAAAACCAAACGGATTCGCCAGCCGATCAGTCTCTGCTGAACGTGCAAGACATCCCACGACATAACCACATCCTATTTATTGATATCCAGGATCAACTGGCTACTTTAAACAAAAAAAAAGGAAAAGAGTCTTTAATGTCAAAATCATTGTTCCCTCCTTTGCTTTCAATGGTAGTAATTGTACAAGGGAAGTTCAGATATTGGCAACGCTTGCTGTAAAACTGACTGCACTGAACATTGAATGAGCCTGTCCCATTTTGGTAGACTAGAGCACACACAGTCATCACCACTCCTATTGCTGTGGTTTAATATGGTTTTGCATGGAATCTAAAGTCTTTGATGTGTAGATGTTCTCCTTGTTGCTTTTCACTTCATCCTCGATCTTCGTTTTAAATAATTGTACAGTTAACCGTTGTGTTCCAGTGCTTCTATACAGCTGCTTATAAATCTGCTTTTCCCTTGACGCGTTTTGCTGTGGAATACCATGCCCAGCAGCCTCTATTCTGAGGGGTGACCTCAGTCCTGCAGCAGATGGGCAAGATGATTTGAAGGCCCAGAGCTTCTCAGAATTGGTTAGGTTGTGCTCCCCAAAAAGGGCAGTCATGCAGCAAACCGACCCTACCCCTTTACCCTAGCGCCTAGGAGTTTAGTCATTTCAGATCGAATTCTCGTGTTCATGGAGCTCCATTCGAGTAGTAAAAGCCTTCCCCTCGTGCTCCTTGTGCAGTCTGTGAGCTGACGAATTGGGACCACCATCAGAAAAGGCAGTGACCTCACTGGGGGGGGAGGTGGGCGGCAGGCATGCCACTGGTTGGAGGCTGCACTGTGCAATACTGGGCTTAGCCTCTGACCTTGTTTTTTTTCGTCTTGTACCCGCGTTCGCCGAGATGTGCACCGCGGCAGGTTTGCTGCTGTGAGAGGAGTGGGCTGGCCGCAGTTTCAGGTTGTTTCCCCGGGTGGTGTAGCCGTGTAATCTTGGGGTGTCTGAAGGATCATCTTGCTCTTTTAACCTGCTGTGCCAGTAACTGTGCTGTTGAAAGCATTTGTTTTTTTGGGTCACATTTTAACTTTTTCCCCTCTCATTCTAATATGTTTTTTTCTATTTTGTGTTCTCCGTTTGTATGAATACAAATCTGCTGGTTTCTCTTTTTTGTTAACAATTTTTTCGCATTGAACCATGAGCCACAGCTGGTCCTGGGGTACAGACAGGACCGTCATGGCAAACAGTTGGTAAAAGACCAGGCAAACTAGCAGCCAGAGAAGGTTATGTGAAGTCTTACCGAGTGTCTGTACTTCCCTGGGTAATATTTCATGTATTTGGATGTAGTAGATTATATGGATTCCCATTATTATACGGTATAATGAAATTAAGTTGCTTGCTTCCCCAACCTCTCACCCCTTAACCCCACATCCTCCACCTACAGACATTCATGTCTTTTGAGTTCAGGTTTATACCTTGATTGTTCTGTGTCAATAGACTGTGCTTTGGTTTTATATGACATGAGCTCCCCTTAGAAGGGGAGCTGTACTGTATATCTAGGGGATAGAAATGAATAAAAGTTCTACAACAGATGCCTTGTTGTGTCCGGTCAGTGTGATGCTTTGTGTCCCTAGCACTGGGATACCACATGTACTCTACAGTGAATATCAAAAGTCTACACACCCTTATTGAAATTTCAGCTTTTGTTAATGTTAAGGCTTAAATCATGACAAGTCATGTCGGACCTTTTTTCACCTTTCCTGTACAGGGATGCATGCTCTTTATAAACGGAACCATGTTCAGATTTAACCAATCACATTCCAAATCATGTACAAAGTTAATTCGCCTTCACCCGACATCAACTGAAGTGATTCTGGTTAGCCCTAAATAGTCAGCTGCTCCTGTAGGATTTCCCTGAAGGTTTCTTTGGTTGCTTAGTGCAGAGATAACCAATGTCCACAAGGAGCTAACAGAAGATCTACGTGATATTAAGGTATAGATCAGGAGAGGGATTTAAGAGAATTTCATTAAAAGGCATTACATCATGGAACACTGAAGAGCATCATAATGCAGTGGAAGAAATATGGCACCACCAGGACAGTGCAAAGGTCAGGATGTCATTCCAAAATCAATGACCGGGCAAGGAGAAAGCTCAGCTGGGAGACTACTGAGAGCCCAACGGCAACCTTAAAGGAGCTGCAGGAATTTATGGCAGTAACTGGCCACTCCCTGCATGTTGCAATCATTTTGTGTATTCTCTTTACATCAACAAAAGCTGACATTTCAGGGTTCGTAGGTTTTTGATGTCCACTGTATACGCATGCAGGGCTGTGTGAGAAGAGCTCAGCACCCTGCCGGGCTACAGTCGGCTCCCCCAGATCTCAACATGTTGGGAAAACAGGTGTTCTGCTTCAGAGCTGATGGCACAGGGACCCTTACATGGGAGCACTGCCATCTTCCAGGACCGCCTGATTGCAGATCAGCACCGCTCAAGACCCTCACAAACCAGGCTGAAGAATCCTGAACACGCACTCCTGCTCAGGGTGATGCCCTACAAGGTGCTTGTGGGAGAAATAACTTGTCAGTGGTTTTGTTGGGTTTCCAAACTCCTGCGGTCTAGAGCACCTGCAACAAATGTTAGTGGACTCTGTTCCTTGATTTTGACCTGAGAACGATCTACTTACGTCAACATCTTTATTTGCTTGGCAGATTTGTCTAGGGAGACGTGCAGTAAGTGCTTCCAATCCGTTGTATAAAAATCCATCGTGATAGCATTTTTTTTAATAAGCTTTCATTAACCTCGAAGAGGAACTCTGTAAGTATACACAGGATGGGCATGTGAAAGTGTTTTTAAGTAGAAGCTAAAGATTTGGTATTTGTTTTTGGTGTGCTTTATCTCGGACTCTGGGAAGTCTGGGGTAAAAAGGCTGGTCTTAAGTTAGTCTAATGTTTGTATTATTTAAAAAGCCACTAACAGGAGGTTGTAACCTTGTCCCACTGGGCGTGAGGCAAATTTAAGCCGCCAGGGCAGGGAGGGACCTGTACATGACTTTGCTTCTTCCTTCTTGCCGCAGTGTGGCGGCTGCAGCAGACCTGAGACAGGTACCAGAAAGGGGACGAGACTGATGTTGACTCGGAGAGCAAAGCACGTTCACGGTCTTAAATGTGCTGGTTTTGAACCCAGAACCTGCACTTGAGAATACTTCCTCTTCCCCAGTCCTTTGCCAAGGCAGTGTCCTCCGCCCTCCCAGCCCCAGCTGCTCCTAGCTGGAGGAGTCCAGGCTGGGGATGTGAGCCAGTCGGGTGCTTCTCGGCTGTTGGCAGAGCCCCGACTCCTGCAGACAGGGCAGGGGTCCCCCCATTCGCCACCACGGTGTACTTGAAGGCAGCGGGGTTCACTGCGGTGTCCCCAGGCCGATGGGCTGCAGGGCTGGTGTTTTGGGCGCTGTGGTGGACTCCAGAATCGCCTGATGATGCACTGAAGTCCAGTAGACTCTTGGCCTATCGGAGAGTCCTCTCCACCACGTCATTCTCGAACATTCCTGGGTCACCTCCACACCTACGCTTGGGGGGGGCTCTGGACCCCATGAGGTGTAGTTTGACCTTTGGTACCTCTAGTGATCTAAGCACGGGTAGGGGGGATTGGGTTGGGCCAGCTGTTTGGTTTCACCTGAGAAAATTGCACCTCAAGGTCACTTCCTGATACGATTGTCGCCAGCAACCTCCCCTGCAGTGATGTCACCTCCAGAGTGTGGAAACTCCAACAATAAGCGCTTTGTCTTTCACTTGCGTAGCTCTTCATTCTGGGCAGAACACAGTGCTGTGCAGTCTCTAAGGTCTTCCACAATGGACAGCTGTGACACAACACTGAGCAGAAAACGGAGGACGCGCAGAGGCAGTGTCCGATATAGCTGGACCCAGGGTGCTTCCTGCCGGGGCTGATAGGGACGTTAATGCCAAGAGCAGGTTCCCCATGGTCGCTAGTGAATATTCACGCTGGTTCAGTACAGCAGAAGGCGTCTGTTACCGGCTGTATGAGCACGTTGGGGTGGGGTTAACCAGTTGCCCACACTGCTCATGTGAAGGAGTGTATATCCAATCTGCTTTGAAGTCACTTAATTGCCAAATCATTGCAGTTCAACAAACGCTGTGTTACGCTTGAATGCTTTTTTTGTTGCCTTACGTGTATCTGATACTGTGGTTATGTGTCTTTTGCTGGGTGGACAAGTACTCCTTGAACCTACAGACTTTGCTTTGTGTTCGACAGATAACTAGTTCATTGTCAGCTGTGCTGCTCTCCGGGAGGCGGTACAAACGCTGGCATTGCAGCTGCAGCTGGAACAGCTGGCCTCTCCAGTGACAGATACCGGGTTCGAAGGTCAGCTGATGTCCTGGCACCGATTTCCTGCACTTGACCGGTCTATAGCTATAGTGGCCATCAGAGGGTTTCACCTCCCTTGGACTTTTTCACTTTATTATGTTACAATGGAATCATAATGTAGTTCATTGGGATTGTGTGCATTGACTGACACAAATCACATTATAGTTCAACAGATCCTCCTAAATTAATTGCAAATTAAAATCATTGATTGTATAAGTATTCACCCCCATCCCAGAGTCACTATATGGTAATAATAATAATTGCTTACACTTATATAGCGCTTTTCTGGACACTCCACTCAAAGCGCTTTACAGGTAATGGGGATCCCCTCCACCACCACCAGTGTGCAGCCCCACCTGGATGATCCACCTCTATATGGTAGAGGCACCATTGCCACTTTAGCAGAATTTACAGCCATGAGCTGGATAAATCTTTACCAGCTTTGCTCATCTGGCCACTGTAATTGTTTGCTAATTATTCTTTGAACCATTCTCTCTCTCATCCTAGCGTTAATCCCGCATCAGCAGACCCTGCTTGTCAGCACGCCCGTCGCCATTTGGTGGTTTGAAGCAAATCTTTGAGCTGACGTTGCCATTAACTGCGACCGAGAAATACTCCAACTGGCGCGTTGCTCCACCTGCCGTCGGGGGGGGGAGGAGAACAAAGTAATGTAGCCAATTCAAAGAGGGGATTATTAGGAGGCATGGGAAATTTGGCCAGGACACTGGGGTAACACCCCTACTCTTTTCAGGACTTCAGTTTTACATCTCATCCGAGAGACAGCACCTGTTTACAGTATCGTGTCCCAGTCATTATACTGGGGCATTAGGACCCACACAGACCGCAGGGTGAGCGCCCCCTACTGGCTCCACTAACACCTCTTCCAGCAGCAGCCTGAGCTTTCCCAGGAGTCTCCCCTCCAGGTGCTGGCCAGGCTCTCACTGCTGAGCTTCAGTGGGTTGCCAATTGTAAGTTACAGGGTGACATGGCTGCTGGCATTCTTGTAAGCATTGAAGTTATAAAAACAGAATCGTCGGCCCTTTTTGTTTGTGCTAATTTCGTATCTTATTATTTTTGTTGTTTTAAGTGGTTTTTATTTTACTTTTCCTGAAAAGCGCTTTTGAGAAGATGCCCTAGTGGCCCTCTGTAGAACAGAGTTTATCATTCCTGTTGTTAGATGTTGCTCTGGCTGTGTCAAGCTGTGTAGCTAAGCTGGAGACCCAAGCAGCGCGATCAGGAGGCAGAAACAGCAGCTCTCTGAGGCGTCTGTCTGCTCCTCTCAGTGCTGCTGCAGCCAGACGCTCTGACACCTTCCTGGTTCCCTCACCATGACAACCCAGGGAGTGTGGCTCTCCTGGGGGGGCAGGCCTCAGGTAAACAGAAGACGACGAGGAATGCAGCTCTTTATTGAGCTCCCACTTTAACAAGGCCGCCCCCCCCCCGCCGCCCGCCGTTTTCTGTTCCGACGCTACCTGGCGGTGTCTTTGACTCGGGCGTCTCGTCGCTGGTGCGTCTGCCAGGAAATCACGACTCCGCTTTGTGTTTCTGAAGAGCCGGCGTCTCCTCTGGCTCGGTGATCTAATGAATTACCAGGGGGATAGAGAGAGACGCTCTCCCGCTCCTTTCATTCTCCCTCGGTGTTGTCGCACACCTAACACCCCCGCCACAGCTGCGTTCAGAGAAAAGTTTCTCCACAGGCAGGCAGGAACAGAAGCTGCTATCCTGACATTGTCCTCCAGTTGCCCCTGAGCAACATCCTCTTGTCTTGTTCCTGAAATCCACACACACCTGGACACCTGTCCAAGACTCCCCCCCCTTGAATTGACTTTTGTGGCTGGAGATTTGAGCCGAGAAGATTTACCCCTGCAGACAGATGTTGTCTGGGGGTAATAGTAATCCAATAACCCCATAATCTGTCCTGCGTGGTGCTCCACACACACGCACGCACACACGGGGCTCTGCTCAGAGGGCAGAGGGAAAAGCGCTCCGTCTATCCCTGGACTGAAGCCATCGTCACCTTTTTTCCTTTCGGAGAGCGTAGCCATGGCGACAGGTGATGTCAGTGTAGCTACAGGAAAGAACAGATGTGCAGGGGGAGAGCGGAGCGCAGTGAGCTGGGAGGGAGCGCAGCTCACAGCCCAGAGAGCGCTTCACGGCGGCCATCTTTCTTCCTGCAGGGGGGTGATCAAAGCAGCGAAAATGATGCTCGTT